TTCTTTTTTTAATATACTTCTCTCTTTTTTGCCACTACAAGTTGTCCTTGCTTTTCAGCAAGTCATCGCATCGTCATCCTTGTCTTTGTCATCGTAACTCGCAAGTCATCATTGCTCCTATTTTTTCTCACTCTTCAATCGTCCCTGTTGCTCACTCCAATAATGCTCGATCCCAATAACCAAGTCTCAACAATGCTTGACGAGTTGACACTCGTTGTCATCGATTTCCCAAGTCCTCCTGTCACTTATCATGCTCGTGCATTCGTGACTCATGAGTTAAGCTCTATCTAATGCACATATTGTGCCTATGCTCTTGTTTTCCTCGATCTCCTAATCCTATATCTCAATCCTTTAAGGCTTAATCTCATCTAATCTCGATTGGGTATTTGTTAGCTTAGCCGATCCATTGCTTATTGCCTTACTATCATTTTATTTGTGTTTTTAGTTCATTTAAATATTATTTAGTTAGTTTTTTCATATCTTTCTTGATTAGGTATTATATTAGAATGAAGTAATTTTTTATTTAATTAAAAAATTTTAAAAAATAATTAAAAGGGCCTGGAGGCCACAGGGTCGGCCCTGGTGTAACATCCCAATTTAAATTTTAATAGTGAATTTGGGTTATTAGAAATTAAAAAAAATATTTAGAGATAAGTAAATTAAAAGGAGATGATTGTTAAATCTAATCAGGCTATAATTCTAAATTAAAATTTAAAAAATAATAATGAATTAATTAATTAAAAAATATTAAATTATTATTATTATTATTAAAAAAAGAAAATGTCTAAAGAAAGAAAGAAGAAGGAGGAGGAGGAGAAATCGTGCTTTCGGTGCTCTCCCACGGCAATCATGACACATATATATATAATAATAAAAAAAAGAAGAGAGAGGAAAGAGGAAACCAAAAAAAACATGTGGGACTCAGTATTTTTTTTATAAAATCACCCTCCTTCCTTCATTTCTTCATTTCATCCCTGTACGCGAGCTGAGGTAGAGAGCGAGCGAGAGAGCGAGCGATATTGATGGAGAGGCTGACTGATTTAGAAGGTGAAGCTCCATAATAGGATATTTCATATGAGATTTTAAGTATTCTAAAACTAGGTAAGTGTTCTAAACATTTTTCTTAGTCATATTTTCTCTTTGGTTTCTGATTTTGTGATGGTAGAAAATTTAGAATTTGGAAGAGGGATGAATTTATGTTGAATAAATATGATTTTGAGGTTGTTAGTAGTGTAATAAATATTTTAGAGTATTATTTTATTGATAGAATTAAAATTTGAGGCATTTGAGTTTGTCCCTAAATTTTTTATGGGTAGATTTTTGGTTAAATCTGAAAATATAAATTGATTTGTTGATATTTAGATGATTATTTGAGATAAGAAATAAATTATTATGGCTATAGAATAATGATTCTAGGTTTGAAATCAAGTTTGCAATTTTTGAGTATTTTTATGTGCGAATTTTTGGAATAAAAAGATAAATTTTGATATTAGAAAAATATTTGAATGAAATTATTGTGAAGGAGACTATTAAACCAAGTAGATAGGTTTAAATACATGAAATTAAATTTTAGAATTTAAGAGACTAAGACTAATTTCTTAAAATAAATAAATAAATAAATATAAAATAAAATAAAATAAATACTTAGGTGTTAGAGTATGAGTGAAAATTGTGTTAATAATATTATTGACACATTGGGATGTGATCAATTGTAGGTTAATTTTTTTTGACACCATTCAAGCTTTGGAAAGCTTTAGAAGTGTTGTAACTTGAGGGGTAACCTTTGACCTCTCAAAGGTTGAGGTAATCGGGGGAAATTTATTTTATGCATTTGTATATTAATTAATTAATTATGTTGGTGAGATAAAAGAATATATATATATATATATATCTAAATTTAAAATAGTTGTTTGTAATGCATGTGGCTTTGTTGAGACCTTATGATTTGTGACCAAGTTAATTGTGACTTGGTATAAGTAATGAGATTGATGTTGATGATGATGTGCACAATCTTGACTATAAATTATGAATTGTATATATGAATTTTTAAAATGCATTTTTTTTATTAGTATGATCATATGGCGGGAGTTTGCCTTAGTAAAGGAGTTAGCGATTACACAAAATTCATATGGTATTTGGCTATTAACCAATAATCCTAGGGGTTATAGCCACTACTTACCTTATAAGGTACTATAGCATTGTCCTATAAAAGGACTTGACCCTACTGGCCTACCTGAAGTTTTGGGTAGAGTTAGTTTTGGGTATGACACCCCATAGTGTGTGATTTGAGGAAAACTGTGTTCATAAGTGAGTAAGGTAACCCTGGCCCGGTAGCCCCTCATGATATGATTGAGGCTTTAGGTAGTCTCACCACATGGATGATCCCTTCCGATTGTTGGCCCACAAATTTCATGTCAGAGGAAATAAGGGGGAATATAAGGAAGAGATTGATCATGCATATTATTATTATCATGTCATTTGAGTGATTGATGGTTATGTTGAGAATATGATTATAATTGTAGAAATAAGAACATGTAGTAATTATGTGAATAATGTATATATGGCTATTTGTGCAAATTTTATACTTGACTTTATTCTTGAAATTATTCACATGAGTTAAATGTTAATGTGATTAACATGTTATTAATGTGATTGTTTGAATGGTCACCTTGATAAATTTATTGATTACTTGCATTCATAATTAATTATCATGCATTTGTATAACTTAGATATACCTTGGTTACTGAGTGGTTGCACTCACCATTCTCTTTTAACATATTACAGGAGCTAGCTCATTTGAGAAGAACAGAGGAAAGGAGTATTAGGCCAAGTGATAATAATCACTTCTGTAGGCCTCTCTCCTTTTATGTTGATATGTGTATTTAGTTTATGATATTGTCAATTAGGATAATATATTCTTGATCTATTTGCATTATGGGTTTTGTGTAGGATGAAAGGTATTTTGGGCTCTTAAGATTGTGTTTTGATGCTTGTATTTATTAATATGTCAAAATATTTGTGCAAGTAAAAATAGTTATTATCATGCTTCCACATATGTTTAATTGAATGATATGAGTTCTCAATATATTTCAAAGACTTGGGATTCCATTATACTAAATAGTTTGTGAAAAATAAATACATATTAAGAATTCATTTAGATTAATCTCGTATTGTATAATTCATTTGGGTTAGTCCTTGATTAATTATGATTAGTATGATAATTAAGTCCTAATTTAGGACGCCCGTTACACCTGGGCTCAATATGTCAAGAGCTGGGCTTCGTGTATTAAGGTATTAAAGAAAATTCAAACTTAAAAAGGCTTGTCCTTTTAGGCCTAAACTTGTCAAAAACTAACCTTGCAATGTCAAGTTAACCCATTTTTTGACTCTAAAGAGGAGGTGGGGAGATGCTCCCCTCTTCTCATTTAGTTGAGAAATTTTAGAGGGGAGAGGAGATCCCTTCCACTCATATTGCTTCTCTTTAAATTGAAGTTTTTTGAAGGAGAGTTAATTTTTTTTAACTATTTTATCCTTATTTAATTTTTAACATTTTAAGTATACTCATAACTAAAAAAATTTTCTTTTATATCATATAGTGCTTCACTCCAAGACCTCAACTGACTTTATTGAATTTTTTCAAAAAAGTCATATTTCATTATATTTCATTATAATTTAATTATTTTTTATAAAAATTGCTACCATTATAATTATTATTTAATTTTTTTTTATATAGTGACAATATGATTGGATGAGAGTAAATTTTTAAAAATCATGCAACTTACTTAGAATTTAAAAAAATTTAAACAACCTTAAAATATGAATAAGAAATTAATTATTAACTTCTCTCTTTTATCTTTTTTAATTAAAGTAAAAAATTATTAAAATTTTTTTTTCCCTCCTCAATAAAATTAAATAAGATAATAATAAAATCTTTCCTTCCGCAATCACCTCCTAACCCCATCAACCCAAATACACCTTAAATGGATGAAAACTCGTAATGATGGGGTTTTTTTTTTCTTTAAAAAAAATAATTTCCAATGTGATTTCCTGATTGATCGCACCTGTGATGTCATTTCAACACTGTCAAATAAAAGCGGCACATATTGCACAGAAAATGAAAGGGTACAGCCCGAAAATAAAACGTCCTCTATCACTTCATTATTTTGGTCAATATAATTATTGTGTTGGCCCTTTCTTCGATGCATACAATGCCAAGTCATTCAAATTCAATGAGTTGGTTCATTAGCAGGTACTCCTGTGTGTCGATAACTACTTAGACCGATTATTTTGCCAAATTGTCTCATAATTTAAAAATTAATTTTTATATATTTGATCATCCCCACATCTTTCTTTCTGCGGATAATGAGAGTGATTAATCTAGACTCTTGTTTGTTTTTTATTTTAAAAAATTATTTTTTTATTTTTAAAATAAAAAAATTTAAAAATTTATTTACGTGTTTTCATTTAATTGTTTTCAAAATTATTTTATTTTTAAAAACAAAAAATAGATTTAAGTAGTTTTATTTTTTTATTTTTAAAATACATTTTTTTGGCACTACACATTATATTAATTATTAAAAAGTATAGTTACTTTGATTAATTTTTATTATTAATCAAAACCATTAACTACCTATAATCATTACAATTAGTTCATTTTTTAATTTTAAAATTATTTTTAATTGATATAACCAAATGAATTTTTATTATTTTATTTTAAAAATTATACTTCTTTGGTTCCAAATTATAAGACACTTTTAGATAAAATTTACATATCAATAAATCTCATTAAATACACTTAACACAATCTCTTTTCAAAATAAAAATATAAATTTTTAAAAATATCATTATTTAATATATTAAAAAAAGTGATAAACATTAATTATACAGGAAGAAAAGTTAATATTAAAATAAGTATATTTAATGAAATTTCAATCTGCTTCTTCAAAAATGTTTTATAACTAGTATTATAAAAAAATTTAAAAAAATATAAAATGTGAATAGAGATGAAACAACCCTTGTCTTCTTGTTGTCTGTTTGTTATTGAATGGATATCTTTCAGTCCCAAAAAAAAACAACAAACAAACAAACAAACGTGCACGTGAGCGTGTGAACGATCACAATGCACTCCAAAATCAAGCCAGAATTAATATACAATTCTATCGCTATTTTCCATTCTTAGCACTGTGCCTTTCTCATATCCACCCACTAAAGTCGTGAAAGCGGGAGACGTCCACCGACTGAAGGAAGCGGCGGAAGGTAAAAGCTATGACGCCATGTAGGCTCCATCATTTCCAAAAAGTTGCAATAAACTCCAAGCCTGGACATCGATGTTAAGCGAATCATTGGAGGGATGGGGACGGAAAGGGAAGGTAAATTCTCACTTGGATGGGACAGGGAAAAGGCAGGAACTGCCTTACCCTCATTTTCGAGTGAAATTAAGAGCTATAATGTTACTTCAAAAAGAAAACCGTACACATGAAATTTACATAGAAAAAAATAAAACCAACCAAATTTTACCCTTCCCCTTATTTAGTAATACGGATGGGAGGGAAAATTTTATCCCTCCCCTCCAACCAACTAAATAGAGTGTTAATTTTTAGATATAGACATAATTATCATTTGCTCAACATTTTCCCTTGCCACATTTCAAATTTCCATTAAGAATCATGGGGTATCAACAAGGACATTAAAAATAAACTAATTCTTGGGACGAACAGAGACCATCATCCCATCCCTTGGCATCCTTTCTCTCGTTAACTAGTTGCTGCACGTTTTGAGGGAAGAGGGCATGTTGGAAGACAGGCATTGACGACGAACGACCCTGTGTGTTTGCTCCCTTTTTCCTCGCTTGCTATGTGTAAATTAGATGGGGACTACTGCGAATATCTCATACTCGTCTCCCTCCAATCTTCACGTTATTCATCGCCCCCCTCTGTTATAGAATAGTAAAATACTGTGCTCTGAAATCTTGGAAATGAAAAGGAATCAGGCCCAGATTGCAAGCGCAGACATCAATCCAGCCCCGAGAAAAAGCATGCAATATGAAGCTATCTGCAGCCTAAAGTTACAGCTCATTCTCTTGCTCAAAAATCAGCAGCTATCAGGTCTACTAAAGCCATATACACTAAAATCCCAGCTGACAAAGCGTCCAATATGCCTTCGGTTATGAGTGCTCCCGAACTGTATGGGTTATATCCTGAAGAAATCGCTGTGCCTATTCCGATACCCAACGGCGTTGTCAGGGCAAAGAAGCAGGCCATTATGGTCGCTGATGAGGTCTTAAATTGAGCTTGGGAGATACAGCCTCCAAGTGCGAATCCTTCAAAGAATTGATGAAATGATAGGGCTGCAATCAGCGGCCTTATGGTACAAGGGCTCTGCGACACTCCCAGAGAGAGCCCGATTATCACTGAATGTGATACAATCCCAAGCTCCAACACCTGCATATATCCAAGTTGGACAGCACATGACAACTTGTACAATTGGAGCTTTTCTTTTCTTCTCTTTTTTAACTGATCCAGATGCGCCTTTACAGAGAAACCCGAAAATAAAAAATGTTCCTTTACAAACAGGTACACAACATAATATCAAGTGTAAACTACTGTCACTACCACATGTATCGATGCTAATCAAATTCCTCAGACAGAAACAAAACGTCGAAAGAATAATTAAAAGTTTATTAACTATCTTCTTTGCCCGCCAAGGCTACCGACTACTATTGACTATTAATTGGGCCAGAATAGTTAAATTTATACTCAGGCTGATATGATAAATGTAAGGGCCAGTATAGAAGCAACGGGCCAGAGTTGTGTTAATATTACAAGTGGCCCAACTGGCCGATGCACGAGTTACCTTCTCCATAAGAATTGCAGAACCACATGTCAACTACAGCTTTTATATGTAGAAGCCATTCAAAATTGACAAAGATAAAAATTGAGATTTCGAAGATTTTGATCAACGCTGAACAACAAACTCAACGTGAGAAACAAAATAGAGACAAGAGTAGTGTATTACCTGTGAAACGACGACATGGCGTACACCGTCTTCATCCTCATCGTCTCCGAATTCGTGTGAGTGGCCATAGCTCTGTCCTGTGACATGGGACTGTTCCTTGACGCCACCACGACAAGAGTCGTGGCCTTGTGGGTGGTTGTGCCTATGGTGCGCTGCGTGAGCATGCATCCCCACTATGTGCATTCCGCCGCCTTCCTCTTCCCCAAACACTTTCCCACTCAAGTCCCTAACCTCCACAACGGGCACGATTCCCGATTCCATGCCCGACTCTGACGTCCCGACCCGTCCTTGGATTTCGGCGTCCCGCGCCATCCCCTGTTTCCGTTCATAATATTGGGTTCCCACGAAATCAACCAAGAGTGTTAAGAGGGCTGAGATCATGGCGAAGAAACCGGTAAAGGGGAACTTGGACCATGGATATTGGGGCAAACAGGGATTTGACAGGGCCTCCGACGAGTCCGGTAACATGTGGACAAAGCCGGTGGCCAGAATCACTCCTGCCGCGAAAGCCTTGGCGGCAACGAAGAGGCTGCCGTCTGTGCGGAGATTACACCGATGTTTCCCGAAAAGAGGTAAGGCTACTCCGGTCATTCCCGCGATGAGTATGGACGCGATCGCCACAAACTTGAGGACGAATGCGGCAGAGTCGTCTCGGCAGAGCTCGAAGTCGCTCCCTTCGCAGCGCGAGTTGGTCATGGTTTCATACAAGTACTGGAACAGCGATCCTTTTTTGGCAAAAAAATGAGTGCAGAGATTTAGAATCCCTTTCAAAACAATTGACCTATGCCAGTTTTGCAAATCAGGATTTTTGAACTCTCTTAAACGGCTCCAATTTAATTTAAATTCAATGAAAGGGAAGAAATTAATGAATCAAATACTAGGATTTTGCTTCACATATCCAGCGTTCACGTGCGTATTTCAGTTCCTTCAGGGAAATCAAGTTCGTTCAAATTGCATCCAATTCTTCACACGTTGATCACAGTAGAAACACAGACAATAAAAAAAAAGAATTCGATTGTTCTGGGCCAGTGGGGGAAGAAAGAGAGGGAATGAATTATTACCTGATTTTCCTAAAGGACGCTCAAGCTGGAAGAACGACCAGAAATCCTGAGAGGAGAAGAAAAGGCGTGTGAGCACAGAGAAAGAAAAGATCCAAACGCAAAGAAAAAGGAGAAAGAGTGAAGAAAAACCAACCTGGAAAAGGGACATGGGAAGAGGTTTTAAAGAGCAAAGGAAGCGTTGGAGAAGGAAGGAGGAGAACGGGACATTTATAGGCAAGAGGAAGAGGGATAAGAGACGGGATCGGAGGTCAGCGAAAACGGAAGGATGTAAGGAGAGAAGACTCGAAGAGGGTAGGGAGTGAGAGAAGTAGAGAGACAATGTCATCATTTTGAAGAAAGAATGGGTGGGAAGAAGCGGGTAGATGCTCTGCTCGCTGCCCTGTTGCATTCGAACTAGGGCGACTATGTCGACATAGTTTCGTTATTATTATGAAATGAAATTCTCACCCTCCCACCCCCTGACACTTTCTTATTTTATGTTAGGTATTATTTTAAATTAAGCTTTTTTTGTTTTTGGCCCTTCTCCCGTAAAAATTAATATCGTGTTCTCTCTCCCGCTCCAGATTCTTTCTTGGACCCTCATATAAGAGAGGTTCGTGGGCCTCGTACCACCCAAAAAAGGAAGAGGATAACCGCACCGCATGTAGATTTTACTCGATGATTGATAATATTGTGTTTCGGGATTGCCATGAGGATAAGGGCTTAATAAGGGCTTTGTTTGGTGACTTTGGTCTTTGGTGGTTGGAAATGATGAAAATGAAATAGCTTAAAAAATTAAAAAAAAAAAGGAAAACTCTTTATTTTAACATAAAAAATATTAATCCTTTCATCTCAAATTATAAAACATTTTAAAATAAAATTTTACATACCAATAAATTTCATTAAATATATTTAATAACCTTTTTTAAATAAAAATATAAATTTTAAAAAAACTTATCATTTAATATATTAAAAATAGAAGAAACAAAATTAAATATAGAAAGAGAGATTGTAATATTAAAATTTGTGCATTTAATAAAATCTTAATCTATTCTAAGTATCTTATATTTTAAAATAATTTTTTTTCAAAAATATTTTATAATTTAAGATGGGGAGTATATTTTTTTGGGAAAGTCCGATATTATACATGTGCTAATCATCATATCCTTCACAAATCTCATCAATAATTACTCTCATCTTTATAAATTAAATTACTTATTCTTCTTTATCGATATGGTTGACATATTTCTCATTTATATTTTAATCATCTTATTTGTTTTTTAATCTATTTTATTATGGGGGTGGATTATTTGAAATTGAGAATCGACATGAAATTTGTCTATTTTAGAGAAATAAAAAAGATTTTATATTTACAAAAATAAAAAAAATTATACAAATTTATGAATATCAACATTAGAGTATTTAATTTAATGTTGGGATCGTCCCCCTCCCTACCTTTTCTTTTCTTTTGTTTTTCACCAGATTCTCTCTCGTGGGTTCAGGCCTGAGGTGCTCCTCGAGAAGTGCGGGGATCACCGCCCAGCGTATATACGATGCGCGTTGATGATTGATAGCGGATGTTCTGCCTGTTTGTATTGGGGATTTAATCGATTTTAGGGGCAAAAAAATTAATTAAGTCATAATTTATTCAAACATCTGCTTTTTTTCAAAATCAATTTTTTCCCAACGTTCCAAATCTCAGCTTCTCCACTTCTACGTGTTTTTGTTACAAAGTTATATGAGCAAATTACATAAAAAATCCAAAAAAAATCACAAAAAGGTACAAAATTTAATAAAATTAAAACAAAACTCTTTTTTCTTCTTTTTTTTTCTTAATAAAATTTGAATCTTTAAAAAAATTACTAACATGAGTATCCAAACAGATTGCGTTATAAGTTATAACATAATCAATTATGATTAAAATCTATCACTTAATCAATTATTTTTATAATCTATTATACTCAACTGAAATTCAAAACGGACCTGTTATTTCTCATTTTTGAATTGCCTAACTGCGGTGATTTTGCACCAAAAAAAAAGGGGGGAAGGTGTTTAACTGTGGTTCTTTTGGACCTGAATCCTCTCAAATTCTCACTCCCTCAGCCTTGGCGGGAAAATTTACACCCTTCAATTTATATTTAATGCCTCATATTTTGTTACATCAGCTCATATTAAAATAATTTTTACATCTTATTCCACTACTTTGTATACATATTTTTAGGATAATAATTCAAATTGATCTTTTTATTTTTTTTATTTTCAAAACTTATCCTAATAAATTACTCTATAAAATTTTTTAAAATAATTTTTTGTTAAATAAATCTGGTGAGAATTTGAGTAAGTCATATTGTAAGCCCCTGTTCACCTATCCTAAAAATTTTTATTGAAACATTTTATAGAGTAATTTATTAGGATAATTTAATGTTTTGTTAAATAATATTTTAGGACAAGTTTTGAAAATAAAAGGGAAACATTATAATAAAATTATAAACATTAAAAATATTTTAAAATTGATAATATTTATAAATATTAAAAGAGTTTAGTAATTTAAGATATTAGCAATAAATTTAAAATATTTTTACACTTTATAGTTTTATTTTTTAAAATAAAAAAAATAATATTTAAGAGATTGAAACTTCAGAAATTAAATTGTAAGAGGCAAAATTCTGAAACTAATTTACAATAAAATCAAAATTTCAAGAATTGAGTTATAATAAGTTAAAATTTAGGGATTGAGTTATAATTGGGTCAAAATTACAGGGATTAAATACTTAATTTTTCAAATAAAAAATAAAAAATAGTTTAAATCATTATCTTAATAATACAAAAAAAAGTGAAGTAAGGTGTAAGAAAATATTTTAAAAAAATAAATTATTTTAATATAATATGATGTGGCAAAACATGAGGCATTGGATGTAGACTATAGGGTGCAGCTCTCCCCGCCGCTGAGGGACGCTAACAGGGTGAGAGTCTGAGAGGATTCGGTTCCAGTCCTTTTATATGATGTTTGCAGAAAACATATAGATGCGACAAAATTCAAAACTGTAAGATAAATACAAAAGAACGATGAAATTAAAAAATGACCATTTTAAAATTAAATATGACCACTTGTCTATGCAGAACATTGGATTTAATCATTTAAATCAATATGAACTGATTTGAAGTTGTTGAAGTCAGTTGGGGGGTTTTATTATTGGAAAAACCTGCTTGCTTGAACTTATATATGCTTTTTAACTAAATCCAAATAAGTTAATTTTCAATTTTAAAATAAGTTAAAAATGTAAATAAGACGATATAGTTTCAGAGTAAACGATGGATGAAAAAGTCATTTGCTTAATTGACATAAAAAGGCATATAGGCTTGCATTTTTAAGTGTTACCAGGCTTGATTATTAAGCATAATATTTTAAACACGCGAATGTCAAGATTCAGCATGAAAATTATATTTTGAATTGAACAAAACTTATGAATTTAGGATATGTTTGTTTTAACTTATTTTATAAAACGAATCACTTTTTTTTTAAAAAAATACATTTTGTGAATTTTTATAATATTTATTTAAATTTTTAAAAATAATCAAAATTTGAGAAAAAATATATATTTTTAATTAGTTTAAGAAGCTACTTTGAGTTTAAAAATAAATAAATGAAAAGGTATGTTTTAAAAGGGCAAAACATGTGAAGATATTATAAATTTTTTAAAAAATAAAATAATAAATTATTTTAATAAAATATAAATTAAAAATTAAAAATAACTAACAAACCATCACTTTTATATTTTGTAACCACATATAAATAATGTCTTCTTTTTTAAAAAATTTTATAAAATAAATATCTTTATATAAAACTTTTAAACTATCTAAAAATTACTTATTTTTTAATTTTAAACAAATGAATCCTTTATCTTATATATTTAAGGTGCTTATTTTCAATTAAATTAAAACATGTGAATCTATTATTATAGGTTATTTATTCTTTAATAATTTCTTATTATTAATATTGTTGAGGTATTAACATATACTACACGTTTTTATTTGATTAAATAGAAATATATTAAAAATTCAAAGTTAACTACATAAGTCTTCGTTGTTTTGAGCTTAATGTTTTTATCATGCTTGGATTGATATATATATATATATATATATATAGCAAAGGAAGATATTGAAATAAATGAAAATTAAAATTTAACAGAAGAATAAAAAAGCACCGCAGTCAAGAGAAAAATGAACAGCAAGATTTATTGGATAGAGCATCTTCCTTTCCTTTTTTTTTTTAAGTTCTCCTCGAAAACATTCTTATTTTTTGTAAAAAAAAAAAATATTGCTTATCATATCAAAATAACAAAGATTTTGCTGCGTTTATTTTTAGAGTTGAAAATATAGACGAGCCTAACCTTTATAGGTTCAACTTTTAAGAGCTTAAGTGTGTGTTTAGTTTTCAGTTTGGCAAAAGTCAGTTTGATAAAAGTTTATTTGATAAAAGTCAGTTTGGTGAAAGTTAGTTGTTGTAACGAAATTTATATTTGGATATATTTTTCTAAAAGTCAGTTTGACAAACAGAAAATTGTTTGAATTAATAAAATTTTATTCTTTTGAAATGTACTTTTTAATGTGTAATAACCAAAAAGGACATTAAGAAATGATAATTTATAATTTTAATTATACAAATATAATATATTAGTAATGTTTGAAAAATGTGAAAGAAATTTTAAAGGTGGATGACGGTGGACGACGAGGAAGAGGCGGAGGAGAGCAGACCACAGACACGACAGAATTGGAGGAAGCAGGTGAGATCTGAAACATGGAAGAAGACAAGCTCAGTAGGAAAAAAGAACAGATATGAGTAGGGGTATCATGGTCATTTTAAATAATAAGTATTTTATCTCTCCTCAACTGACTTTTTAAAAGCTCCAAATACTAGCTTTCAGTTTTTTACGTTGCAACCAGGTCTGAAAGCACTTTCAAAAAGTTAATTTTAAACCTTAAATGACTCCCAAACACCATTTAACTTTCCCAAAGTAAAAACTAACTTTTTGGATGTAAAAAGCTGGATTCCCAAACGCACCCTAAGTCTTAAAGTTTATTTTTTATTTTTAGCCTCATTTTTCAAACCCGACCCTCATATAAATGGCTCAAGGTTAGGCCTATAAGCTATTTTTAAAAAAATAAAATAAAATATTAAAAATTAATGAAAATGTTTTAAAATTAAAAAATTAAAATTCTCATAATTTTTTAAAATTAAACAACACATATTTAAAAGTTTAATAATAAAATTTGAATTTTGGTTAAAGAATAGTTCATTTTTTATA